AATCATAGGGTGTAGGCTACTTTGTCAAATTGTCACCCCTGGCTTTTCCATTTTGGCTTTATTTTTGTTAAATAAATAATGACACGGTGTAATATGTAATTTTGTTCATCTGAGGTCGTGTTTATCTAATTTTAAGATCTAATGATGATTTTTATTATGTTCTGATACGTAAACCATAAAAATCTAAAAGGTGTCCATTCTTTTTCACATGACTGTAGGCCATTCTTATTGTGGTTCATTTCAAAAGCGTGAAGGATTAGCACATGTTTTGGTTTGGTTTCAGAACTGGGCTGATAGTAAGACCTGTGTTCGTCTCAGATATAAGCTTTTTGCATAACATATAATTGCAAAATAAATGTGAATTTAAAAAAGAAAACATGTTGAATTGTTTTTTTACGTGGTCAGCATGGGCCATAAGTGTAGGTGTTGGTGATCTCAGATGGAGTCATTCTGCTGAAAGGCAGAGATAAGACGTTAACATGAGTGGGAAAATAATAACCGTGTTAGAAGAGTGAGGCAATGTGGTTATGCCAATTATTATGCCAATCTTGTGGTCTGAAAAACAAACAGACAATCAGAGTGATGCTTAATAGGAAACGCTCAGCCAATCAAACTAGACCAAATTCAACTGCTGTTTAATTATAATTGTATAAATATATACAATCACAAATACAGGTAGGCAAATGCAACAACAACAAAAAATATGTGTAGCCTATATTTATCACGTATTCTTTCCCAAAAAACCGGTTTTAAAAACTCCTAAAGACAGTAAAGGGTTAATAAAACAGCAAATCTCGTGAGTTCACATTCATATATGTCATGTCATGCAAAATTAAAGGAGGTTTAGGAGTTAAAGGTCTTTATTGATTTAGTGTGGAATGGGTGAATTTGCTCATATAACTCATTTAACAAAGCGATTTTATAGAGTTTAGAAGAAGTTAGTTGCTGAGATTGCGCTTACTGTCTGTACTAGCCTACATAGGTTAAACATAACATGCATACTTAAAGTAGCATTCAGACTCAGGAGTATAGGAATTTTTGTCTTAATGTATGTTTATCTCACCAAGCTTTCGAAGGGGATCGTGGGTTTTCGACTCGAACCCTTTAGTTTCAGTCTGAACGGTCTCTGGTTTCTTCTTTCTCCCCAACATGTTGAATATATTCCGTCGGTTCCAGACAGTAGCTACTCCTTATTGCCGCCCTGAACCGAGAGGTAAATGTGAATAATCAATAGAAAAAGAAAAAAGTCCAGAAGTGCGTTTAAATCCTTCGGTCAATGCATGTGAAGGCTCTGTTGCTGCGACGCCTGTCGTAACACTTGACGCTTCTAAAAACGCAGCGCGTAACTCGAGTCCGGCGAGGAGCGATAAATATTTCTCTGATGAACACGAGTCACTCACTCACTCACACACACACACACACACACACACACACACACACACACACACACACACACACACACACACACACACACACACACACACACACACACACACACACACACACACACACACTGTATGACACATTTACTGTCACGGCCTCTACTTTTAGATAAACTGTCTGTTTAGAGAAATGTATTGCGTAATTGATTTGTTAGCCTACTTGTTTTTAGCCTGAAAAATGTTGTCTTTGCTGACACTGTTGCAAACAAAAATATAACATGAGGTTGAATGAACTTCACAAAGACCCCTCCTTCGACTCCACCTCTTGTGTTTAATTGTGTCCTTTATTCAGAGTTAAAGGGTTAGTTCACCCAAAAATGAAAATTCTGTCAGTATTTACTCACCATAGAGGCTATAAAGGACACAGAGTTAATGAGCTGCTATGTGAGATTTAGCTTACTGACAGCTCACACACCGTGATATGCTGCCATCTGCTGGTATACTAATGAAATGACTTTAAACATAATACATTAAAATGAGATCAAATGAGAGTAATAAAAATAATAAAAAAGTAATCTTACAGGGTAGTGACTTGGTTATAAAAATGTCGGACATTCAACTTGATTCTCAACCTATTTTCACCCGCATGTTATTACTAGCCAACTACATCATTAGTCATTTAATCATTTACTATTTTTCCTAAATTCCCCCCTCTCATATCATGATTTGCTTCTCATGTAGTATGCGTGACTATTTCCAACACTTCTTAATGTGTAGCTATCCTAATTAACCCGTGCCTGTGTTTTTTTATTGTTTTTTTTTTCATGCTAAACCTGTTAAACGGTTTCATTGAACACATTGACCTACAGGTTTTACAGGTCCCTCTAAATCACACACAGACACACACACACACACGGAAGCTCTGTCATTAAATAATTGATATAATACAACATAACTACCAAGGTCAAAGACATCTGAAATGGCTACTCTTATTTATTGATTTGTAGATGTGAAAATGCTAATAATCACACATAAATAATTGAGAACTACTGTCAGAAACTGATGTGGTTTATACAAGTACAAACATGACACAAGACAAAGGACAAAACCAAAAATGAAATAAGCTCTGCAATAAGAATTTATTATAGCTTGTGACAGACACTCCTTGCAGGTTAGATCTCTGTTCTTTTCATTGAGGTGAATAGATTTCTGCATAGTATTTGTAAGTCACAGAGAAAGGCCATTAACAGGGAAAACAGTCTAGTGGAGTTAAAACAGGTACACCCCAAGATTTCCAAATAAAAGTACGTATTATATTCATACAAAATTTATGTATAATATATACTGTGTATAAAACAAACAAACAAAAAATATTAAGGAAAACATTTCAAGTAACATCTTGAAAGAAATGACCGTGCACCTAAGTGCACTTTTGTAAACCATATAAAAACTAAAATAAAGGAAAAAAAGAAAAAAAAAGAAATGACAATATAATATATGTATATTTACAAGGTTAACTTAAGCAAGGCTTTGTACAAATGTTACAAAATCGTTTGACACACATACTCGAGCACATAATGTTTACACAGGAAATTTCAGACACACATACACACTCATTTGAAGTGATTTCACCAATGAGCCATTACTCAAGTCAATTTAAAGGAATATGTGGGAAGGTGAACACACCACACTGCCTCTTATGGAACTTATTTAGTGAGTTATTGGTTGAATTATGCACCTGCGCTAAGCTCAACGACGCCTTTGTTAAAACTAGTAAAACTGTCAACACTGTTCCTGTTTGCTAACACTGTTTAACCAATACTGTACCGGCACGTTCGGAGAATTGGTTCGTCTGGGACTTGAAGAACACAAAAGCACTGAGTCGTGAGGGTCTTGGCATTACAGAATGTTGTCATGTGACTGGCCAAGAAAATGTGAAAAGAAGATGATGATTGAACTTTGGCAACACTGAAAAGCCCCTTTTGCCATGCAGCTGAAGTTGGTCAGAGTGAGAAAAAGAGATGTAAATTAGATTTGAGCGAGGGGTTCAAACAGTCTCAGTTTGTATTTTACTCGCATGGCAACCTAAAGGGCCGTTCACACGACAGCGATTTGCAGTGAAAAAACTGGATTCAACTTCATTAAGAATGATTTCAGGCAACGCAAGCAACTGTGACATTGATTGCTTATTTGGATAAAGAAGAGTTCTTGTTTATGCAAATGAACAGTAATGTGAGGCAGCGACAGTGCATGGAAACACAGACCACACTAAAGACATGGAAATTCAGTTTTAGGTCAAATTGGCAATGCCCTAAGTTGATTTTGAATTGGAATGGAAAATTACAATTTAAATAAATTTTATATATATATATATATATGAAAAAATTCATGGGAAATTAAGTGTTTTTCCTTGGACCATAAAATGAATCTTCATTTTTTTTGTATATAAAAAATAAGCACACATTTCTATAGGTGACATTTCAAATGAAGCAAAAGGTTGTCTTGATAACTTCCATTTCATTTTCACACCTGGCTCAATTGCATAGACATATACACTAGATTTCTCCTTGGCAACAGCAGTCCATTGGAACAACGCGTCAATAGAACCGCCATCATGTAACAAGGGAGCCCCTCCTCTTTAACGCATAAACGTCAATATAGGCAAAGGTCTAACGGAAATAAAATCACCATAAATCATCATGAATGCCATTTTCTGTTTTTTTTTTTTGTGTTTTGGTGCGGTCAGTCCAGAGAAAGAAAAAAAACAACATTCTTCCTAGTTCAGATTTCGTTCGAGTGAACATCCACACGCAGCTCATAAGTCCGAAAATCCATGAATTCGAAGTATGCCTACAGGCGGAGATAGCAGTGTTAAGTTACCTAGCTACTTCCTATGACAAGACCCCTGTTCCAAGATGGCGGCGGTTTTGACACGTTTAGAACCCCAAGGCGACATCTAGTGTATATGTCTATGGCTCGATTAGAGCATTTGCTTCGGAACCTGGCACGATTTCTCCCTTAGTTTCAGCAGAGACCGTCTAACGGAGAGCCTTGGCACTTCCTATTAGCCCCATTGTGCATCACCTTGGTTGCAGTTGCATTAGAATTCCACTGGAGGTGATCGCGGGCGAGAGCAGAATGAATGGGAGTCTAAGGGGCTAAACGGCTAAAAGTGTCCCTTTCACCTGCTTGTCGTTAAATTAACATAGATTTTATTGTTGATTACGCAATTTCAATATAGATTATAGGCCAAAATTCGAATGAACGAGTACTTATGTCCTTTTGATTTCTTACAGGTTAGGCCGTTGTTGGCCGGAACACGCTAGCATTCTGCTATTGTGTGATGTCATCACAGTTTTGAACGGATTTTTAGAACAGATAAGTGAACTTAAAAATGCAATTTTCAGCTGAGTGTATTATCTTAGCCCTCCCTTTTGAATGCAACTTTCAAATTACTTGACAAAAAATTACATCCTGAGAAAAGTGGATTTCTGGGGGTGAAACCCCATTGACTCCCATTCATTCTGCACTCGACCGCGAGCGCCCCCGCATGGACAGACACGTGTTACTGCAGCCAGTCCAGAACCCGGAAGTAACCAGCCAGTGCCAATTCTCTTCAATTAGACATTCTCTGGTTTCAGTTTGTTTATTCATATACCATGGTCTGTCTGAATACTCGATTCTGATTGGCTGAAAGGTGTGCAATAAAACCGTTTAATGCACATTTAGTTCCAAGTCAGTTGAATCACGTTTGCTGTTTTAGGCGCACACACACATATAAGCGGAAACTTCAACGCAGCCCCGCGACTTTTAGTAATAGAATAAATTCGATACGGAATCGCTACATTATATATTTCTCATGTTTAAGTAATTGTAAACTCACAGCTTCATTGTTAATAGAGAGAGACACTGATACAGACGCAGGTGCGCATCTCTCTCTCTCACCATCTCTCTAATTAATTTGAAAATATGCCATAATTCATTCATCAACAAAATGTAATTTTCGCACTACTTTATCTCGGTGTCTGTTTCAAACCAGGCCGAATGCTAACTGACCGTCAATTTTATTCTTACCGCAAATTCTTATCCCAGCTAAAAACCAAAGACCGCCTCTTCATTTTAAAACATCATTGTTCTTCTTCGAAACTTTCATAAACGTAAAAATATTCAATTGCATAAAAATGTTCTTTGTGAAATCGAACCAAGGGAGAAATGCAGCATTGAACATCCCTGTTTCAGAAGCAAACAATTGACAGGCCAATTGATTCAATTCGAAATTCAATTTGGCATCCTGTTTGCTACCTCAATTCAAATTCAATGCCAATTCAAAAACTGAACTGGAAGAATGCTCAGTTCAATTCTGAATGGTACACAATGACCCTCCCTCACATCATTTGCACCTGGTCCAGTTTGACACTGCATTGAGTATGAAGTCTATCGACCAAAAGTACTCTACAATGATATTAATCGCTGTCAGTGTGAACTCATATCAAACATACGGAGGACGCAACTACAACACAACACAAATCCAACTCTCTTGGTTCACTAGCCTGTACACACCATCATTGCTACAAGAAATCACGGAAACGCGAGGTAGGCAGGGCCCGATGTGCAATAGGGGCTTCAGTCTCTGGGTGGGACTCTCCAACGTCCAGCTTTTCAACAGGGGAGGGTGAAGTTAGCGGTTTGGGGGGTAGCGCCGGCGTTTTTTTTCCTGAACAGTCTGTAGGGGAGACCACCACTGTGTGCCTCCTCCACGCCCGTCTCTTTCGGCGTGTCTCGGGCGAGAGCTGCTTCCTCAGGCCGACGCTGCGCAGGTCATCCGCCGAGCCCATCAGCCGAGCCCGTACCTGGTCCGCCAGGGAACCCTGCTCAGGGGACAACGAGCAGCTCTTACTTCCGAGACCGGCCAAGGATGTTGGCGTACTCTCTTTTCTCACGCTAACCTCTTTGAAGGGTTTGGCTTTTGGTGGAGGAAATGGAGAGGAATCCGGGATTTGATTTGCATCTGACTGGCGTTCTCCCTCCATGGCGGAGGAGCTTGACAGTTCTGACAGGTCCAACGAGGACGCTTTGGCTTTGTCTGACTTTAGCCGACGCCGTGCGAGGGTGTCGCACTGTATGAGGCGGTGGGAGTTAAAAGAGTTGCGGCCGTGGAGGCGCTGGGAGGCGGATGATGAGTGAGAGGAGGTTGAGGGAGTGGATGAACGTGCTGCGACATCGTTCGCTCGGTCTTCAGGGTTGGAAGTGATGTGGAGGGAAGGAGGAGGCGGAGCGAGGGTGGAGCCAGAGGGCGTCTGGGATTTGCAGTGCGCATAGAGGAAACTGCGTGGCGCGGTCGGTTCGGGTGAGGCGTGCGAGTTTTGATCGGAACGGGTCGGTTTTTCCGGCCTCTCTTGGGTGAGGGAGCGCGAGGCGAATCCGCTTTCGTTGTCGGTTTCACTCACCAGTTCACTGTGCTCATCATCCGCATCATCGCCCCGCCCCTCTGATGCTAAGCTCCGCCCCAGAGTGGACAGAGTAGAGTAGCCCGAAACAATAGAGCGCGCATCATCTCCTCGCCAGCTGCGACCTTTCACTTCAGACCTTTGCTCCTCCTCCTCGCTCAGCAGCACAGCTGGTGGCGCTTCCTCTGCCGAGGAAATGCTGGGAACTACTTCCTCTTTCGGTTCCTCTGCCTTAAGTCTCTCACCCTCCTCTTCCTCATCTTCCTCCTCCTCTTCTTCTTCATCTTCCTCTCCCTCCGCTCGAGGGGCGCAGAAGGATGCCACCCGCCCCATCTCTTGCAAATCGTCTTTTTCGGAGACACAGGATTTAATGGGTTCGTGCTCAGAATCGTCGTCAGTGCTGCTGCCGACGAGACGGCCGTTGTGTCGCTTCCGGCGCTTTCGGGTCACGGCCGACATGATCGATAACGTCAGGATATCCTTGGCAGTAAAGTCACGTTTTGATCCCCACGACCCCTAGGTTTTAAATAGTATACAATTAAAATTTTTAAATACATCTTTATTAATAGATATTAAATGCATTTATTAATTATTAAATGTGCATTTAAAAAGATAAAAGAAAAAAATGCATATTTACATCAAAACTATTAAAACTAATTAATTAATTATATTATAATAAATCAAATAAATATTAAACAATATTTATTCTAGAAAGCAAAATTGCATGAATGTATTACTAATTTCTAGCATTCAAATGTATGATATAGCCTTTGGTCAATACTGACCTTAGATCTTGCAGAATCACTGTTGGTTGAGTCTGGTCAGTTAAAAACAGAGAGAGATAGGGAAAGAGATTGTGAAAGGAAGTTAGTGAAAACAACAAACATTTTGGCACCATGTTAAATATATGCAGTTTTTATGAGAGGCACAGAGGAGAAGTGAACTTTTGTGGTTTGTCAGTAAGTTAATTTAAAGGGATAGTTCACCCAAAAATGAAAATTGTTTTCATTTGACTCACCCTCGTGTTTAAAACCTGTCTGCTGAACACAAAAGAAGAAAAACAGTTGATGGACCCCATTGGCTTCCATAAAAAAAATACTATGGGGTCCATCAACTGTTTGGTTACTGAAATTCTTCAAAGTATCTTCTTTTGTGTTCAGCAGAAGAAAAAAAAACAGGTGAGAGTATATAAAAAATATGGGTGAATTATCTCTTTAATACGATATTAAACAAGGCCTCTGTGTCTGTCAATCATTAAGCATTACCCCCATAAACAGTGATTGTGAGACGGTGTTCACACAAGATACACTATAAGCAACATCTGTGTAACAAACGACCAGCCATTGATTGTCAGTTAATGTTCCAATGTGAACAGGGTCATAGAAGAAGTGAAGGAGCCCATTTATGCAGCAGCCAGTGGTAAAGATAAAGCACACACTGATGACATCACGGCACATACTGATGACATCACCCATGATAGAAGCTATGGGAGAGGCAAGGGTAGAAACTGTAATTGTCAGAGGGGGAGAAGGACAAACCGAACACAATTTTGCCACAACACACAGGCCCTGTTTACCTGGCAATGCATGGGTGTCACTTTGTATCAAAAGTCACAACTGTAAAGCCTTTGCTCTTCAATAATTTGCAAAATAATTTTACATGATAATCACTTTTTGTGATACAAACCACTACCATTCAAAAGTCTTTTGAAAAGAAATTTAAAAAAAAATGTATTTAACAATGGCATATTAAGTGGCACAACTGATTAAAGTGACCGATTTAAGCGGCACAACTGTTTTCAGCATTGATGATAGTAATAAATGTTTCTCGAGCAGCAAATATTAGTAAGTCATATCAGAATGATTTCTGAAGGATCATGTGACACTGAAGACTTGAGCAATGATGCTGAAAATTCAGCTTTGCATCACATGAATAAAATACATTTTAAAATATATACAAACAGAAAAGGTACTTACAAACTGCAATAATATTCCACAATATTGCCATCAATATAATATTACTGTAATTTTTACAATATTTTGATCAGATAAATACAGCCTTGGTGAGCATAAGAGACTTATTTTAAAAACAATCAATCAAAAAAAATTGTATAAATACTAGTAAATATATTATAGTATATACTTAGCAGTATCTGCTCATTTAAAGGTCAAAACTGAAATATAACCTATAACATTTTGACTGGAAATGTCCAAAATCATTTAAAAAACAATTTATATAGCACACAGAGTTTTTTATATATACAGTATATGTATAGAGTTGCTATATACTATCACGCTAAAAAAATTACAAAATATTAGATACACCCCTACTAAGCTATTTCTGAAAGTGGTTGGTTTGAATGAGGATAAACTAGGTTTTGTAAAAAACAAAACATAGAATCCTGTTTACAGCTGAATTTAGCACTTCAAAGTAACACACATGTAAATACCAGGTATAAACGGGGCCCAAAAGCACCTTCATCGCTTGATACAAAATTGAACGTTCCCACTTGTGCATATAGGCATTAAATACACACTCCTGAACACACACACACAAACACAAAGAGAGAGAGAGCATGGCAGGAGAAACCCATCCTACCGCAGTGGCTGTTCCACAGGCTCAGCTAAGAAAGGAATGCAGAAATGTACAGAGAAAGAGAATATAATGAAAAAGATTCTTTAAAAAACAAAAACTTAGAAGTGTAGAGCATTCAACATGCAGGAAAAAAGTCAGAAACATGTTTGACCTGCTGTCTATTACTATCACATGTCCAAAAGACAGATGTGTATATTCACATGCAGATCTAGTGTTAGTCATCTGAGGTGGAATATGACTGCTAGCCAATGGCAGTAAGTCAAGAGACTACAGGTTAAGCTGTCTCACCTGACGCCTCCCCTAGCAGGCCTGTCCGGCCAATGTTAGAGAGGAGATGATCTATGTTTGGAGCGGGTTGAACATCCTCCGTGTCCACAGGTGTCTGAGGGGCGACATTCAAATATTAAGTCAAAACACATGAAAAACTATCACATTTCACATGCTTAGTTCAGTCATAACCAGTAGATGACTTGATGATTCATAAATGTTTTTCTTAAATCTCAATAAATATAAAGAAAACAAACCTTTTCATCCTTTTCGTGTTCTTCAACGAAAAACCAGACATACTGCGTAGAGAGCAAGAAAGTCATTGTTTAAAATAATTCAAATGGAGGCTATCTGTAAACTCAGTGGTGTGTTCTGTGCCTCACATGCTGAATGAGTGTCTCGACAATTTTGTAGCGGTCAGGCATGTGGGTGACCATGTCTGTCATGTTGTCCTCTGAGGTCCGGACAAGAGTGGGGCCAAACACCAGCGCCAAATTACGTGGCTCCATCTACACAAGTGCACCGTAAGACTCAGCTACAATAAACAAGCATGCTACTGTATGCAGTTTAAATGAGCTGCTCTACTGCTTTTTTAAAGGGAAATTTTTGAAGCATTATGAGATGAGAAAATAACAAGAAAAAAAAACACATTATAAGAGCAATCTGAACCTAATATTACTCTTAAATTTGAACCCAACTTAAATCTGAATAAAAATGTGAACATTAAAGGAGTAGTTCACTTTTGAAAAAACTTTTGCTGATAATTGACTCACCCCCATGCCATCCAAGATGTCCACGTCTTTCTTTCTTCAGTCGAAAAGAAATTTTTGATGGTTTTTGATGAAAACATTCCAGCATTTTTCTCCATATAATGCACTTTACTGGGAACCAAACGGTTCAAGGTCCAAAAGACAGTTTCAGTGCAAACTGTTCAAAGGGCTTTAAACGATTCCAGACGATGAATAAGGGTCTTATCAAGCGAAACGATCGCTCATTTAATAAATAAATAACAAAGTTTAAGTTTTATAAGCTCAAATGCTCGCCTTGCTCTGTACTGTGTGACTCTCCTGTTCGAACTCGTTCATCAAAATGAAAAAATCTTTTTCCGAGTCAATTCGTTCATTTCGTTCGTTGAATACGGAAAAAGATTCGTTCATTTTGATGAACGATTTCGAACAGGAGAGTAACAAACGCGCTTCACAGAACAGAGCAAGGCGACCATTTGAGCTTATAAGACTTAAACTTTGTTATTTATTCATTAAATGAGCGATCGTTTTGCTTGATAAGACCCTTATTCATCGCCTGGAAATGTTTAAATCCTTTTGAACAGTTTGCAGTTTGCACTGAAACTGTCTTTTGGACCTTGAACCGTTTGGTTCCCACTGAAGTCCATTATATGGATAAAAATCCTGGAATGTTTTCATCAAAAACCTTAATTTCTTTTCAACTGAAGAAAGAATGACACGGACATCTTGGTTGACATGGGGGTGAGTAAATTATCAGCAACAGTATTTTCAAAAGTGATCTACTCCTTTAATAACTGTTGTTCAAATATGCATTGTAATTTATAGTAAAACTGTTATTTAAAATACTGAAATATCTGAATAACAGAAAATCAAGTATTGGTCACCTTGTTCTTCTCAGAGTGGTCTGCCACAGTCTTTAGGTGTCCAATTAGAAATTTTAGAGTGTGGAAATAATAATCTGGTAGATCACGGATCTGCAGGAAGAAATGGAAAAGGGCAAAAGAAAAACTAAATCAAGGAGAATACTAAATAAATGCTAAATGCTGCACATACACTACCATTCAAAAGTTTGAGGCAAGACATTATTTAATTTTATTTAGAAAGGACAAATTAATTTGATCAAAAGTGACTGTGTAAAGACATTTATAATGTTAAAAAAAATCATACTTCAAATAAATGCTGGTCTTTTGAACATTCTATTCCATATAAATTACATATACATATTATTAAAATATAAATCATTTCTGAAGGATCGGTGACACCGAAGACAGGAGTAATGATGCTAAAAAAAACAGCTTTGACATCACAGGAATAAATTATGGTTTAAGCTTGTATAAGAATGTGGGGTTTAAACAAATATGCTGAAAACACATTCATACCAGTTTCTTCATTGTCCTTAACCTATCACTGGCATTCTCCATCCGATTGGCCTCAATAAAGTCATTGTATTTGTCTTTAATGGTATAGAGAGAATGAGAAATAGGGGAAGAAAGAAAACGTAACTACATGACATTTTATACACCTTTTAAAGTTTTCCAGTAATTTGATTGTTTTAAGCACATAAAATCACAAAATGCTCATAATCTCACCATCAGTGAAGAGGGGTTCTGGGAGTTTACGGAAGAAGGACTTCAGCAGGCTGCTGACCACATTCAGGTCCTGCCATCTCTGTACAGGAGGAAAAAGTGAAAGTAGTTGCTGTTGAAGTTCTCAGTATATGAGGAAGCAACCGCTTAAACATGGGAAGTGAATATAACTATTATGTTGCCTCAGTCTCAAAGAGCAAGAGGCAGTTTAACAATTATGGTATCTCTGATCGAGATCATGTATAAACATCTCACCTCCTCAGCGATGTTGATGTCTACTCCTTTGTTGAGCTGCTCCTGTAGACAGGACACTACTGCATTGTTTCCCGGGACTCGGTAGATCCCCGTGTACTCCAGACCCATTTCCTCCACCAGCCCGCAGCAGATCTCCACAATCTGGGGAATGAACTTCACAGACAAAAACACATACACATTAAAGCATACTAACATAAAGTAACCAGTAAGCATAAGAAATACATTCAGCACACTGCAAAAAGCACACACCTTGTTTTTGGCAGCCGGCTGGCAGTCCTCTAGACGGACCCCAAAGGCTTTAGGGCTTGCCTTCTTGGCCTTCTTCATTATATTTATGCCCCAAGGAGATTTAGGGGGGCTGCTCTCATCTTTGGCCTCGTGTTTTGGGGAACGTGGAAATGGCATTCGATGCACTCTGGGTGAGGAGTCTGGTTTATTACCCGTTGGACTAAAGGAGGGAACCAAGACGAAGAGGATCGTTTTGACTTTGGAATGGTAAAATGTAAAAAAATGTGTTAAAAATGTGACAATGGTCTCAAATCTCACCTTTGCTTCCTGTAGTCATTAAGTTTCTTACTTATGAGAGCCTGCCCTGGAAAACCCAGTTCCTACAGACAAACATGACAAAGGAGCATTTGAATTTCATTGAAAAATACCATTGGTTGAGCTAATGTTGCCATGTTGGACTGTGCAAACCACAAAGTCCATTCACTCTTCGGGGAAATCAACCAACAAACAGTGTTATTAAACTAAAATAAAAAACAAACTTCATGATTCAAAATAAATAAAAATGTATTATGACCATCTGCAGATTTATTAGCCATTTTTAAAATACTGAATAACAAATTAAATTAATTAAATAACAAATTTAATCTTGCCATTTCACTCTGTTTACGGCCTCTATGTAACATCATTATCGCGCTCTCACCTCATTGTCAGTCTTGCTGCTCTCTCTGATGACTCTGATCCACTCCAGCATGTCCTCTCTGTCCTCCGCCTGTAGCAGGTATTCACAGAAGTCCTGCGTGGACAACCTCAGCGCGTGCTTGCGCTTGGTTTCGCTGTACGCTATGTCCACAAGGCAGCCCCGGATGCCGATTGGCTGCTCATCGTCGACCCCGCCTCCCAGCGCCGCCCCTTTGAGAACTGCCTCTCGCTTGTCTTTGTAGAGGAACAGGGAATGGGACCGAAGCACGGAGAACACCCGCCTCCAAGGCCAGATGGCACTACCCACCTTCTGCAAGAGAGAGAGAGAAAAGACAAATCTCATCCATCAGATCATACAGGTACTGTGACTAATTAGTCATTTAGCAGACACTCTTATAGCATGTCAAGTTTGAACCAAAACCCATATCTTTATCTAAACCACTAATAACTGCTCTCCCGGATTCTAAACTAACCCTAATCTCTTACCTTGCCCTTCTCAGTGTGGATCTGTTTGAAGTGGAGCCATCCGTCCCTCTTCACGTCACTGTAGCTGATGCTGCCCAGCTCCGAGGTAGAGTGTCGTTTAGAGCGAGCCTCTTCAGCAGCACCCAGACTGTCTAGAGACTAAACCACGACACAGGACAGAGATACACACAAATGTGACAGTGACAAGGAACTATAGTATACAAAGAATCAGAATACAGGAAGACAACATTTAAAGCTGTAGACTGTTTTTTAGGTCAATTTGAAACTCTCTCCTTTTTTATTATGTCCTTAATCTTGTTGTGATTGATTAATCTGTGCATGCATGTTATTACAAAGAAATAATTGATCTTTGTAAATTTAATAAAATAATAATAATATTCTTTATTGCAAAATGCACATTGCTTAATATTAAGCCTAACATGTGTTTAATATAATTATTAACGAGGATTGTATGATCTCTCTATAATATCAGTCTTTAAAATGCAAGATATTTAAAGTGTACCGAAAGTATTCTTGCAATAGTTCCATTTTAGCACAATCAAATATACTTCAGTATATCTTTAGTTGGACCTCTGCACTATTTCTGGATAGTTCACCCAAAAATGAAAATTCTGTCAGTATTTACTCACTCATGTGTTTATTTGTTCTGCTGAACACAAAGGAAGATATTTGAAAGAGTGTTTTAATCAAACAGATCTCATTCCCCATTGACTACCATAGTATGTATTTTTCCTACTATGGTAGTCAATGGGGAATGAGATCTGTTTGATTAAAACATTCTTCCAAATATCCTCCTTTGTGTTCAGCAGGACAAATAAACACATAGAGGTTTGGAAAAACATGAGGGGGAGTAAATACTGACAGAATTTTCATTTTTGGGTGAACTAACCCTTTAAAGGGAGTTAAGAACAAAATAAGTTGTTTCAATTCCCTACAATTGCAGGGCATTTATATTAAGTACATAAATAATATGCAAACGTTTTGTATTATACATTTACATTTGTATTTATGGATTTGGCAGACGCTTTTATACAAAGCGACGTACATTGCATTTCAAGGTACACATTTACATTCTTATCAATTCTTTCTTTCCCTGGGAGTCGAACCCATGACATTGGTGTTGCAAGCGCCAACGCTCTACTTTTTTTGCGCTCCAGGAAAGCTTAAAGTACACTTACCATAAAAATATATCTATTTCAAATGCATTTTTTTGGTATATTATATTTTATATTATATCATGATTTATATATTATATATCATGGGTTGCTTTTCCTCTAAAAATACCTTTTCTGTTTCGCTGATGTCACTTAAGTAAATGTTAACTATTACTATAGAATATATGTAGATATATAATATAAATAACTATCTAGGCATCACTTTAATAAATAGATAATAATATAATATAATATAAAAATAGATATCATAGAAGGGTATAAACTGCTATATTGTGGATATAACATTATAAACTTGACTGGTGTTGTTTTTGTTAACTAAAACTTAAGCTATTAAAATAATTTCTGTTAATTGAAATAACATATATAACAATAATATATAAATAATACTAAAATAACACTGGTATTGACCAATCAGCATCCAGGAGCAAAACTAGCTGATCTAGAACCAGAAATATCACATTATGTAGATATTAAACAACATTACAGAAGAAACATAGGTTCATGCCAAAGTTTTAGTGTGTATAACCTAGTTTATACTGTATTTGGACTCACCCCTTCAATAAAAAAGCTCTTGACTCTTTTTGGAAGCCTTCTGTTGAAAGAGCACAATAAGAGTGTGTTTAAAAGTAAAAGAAACACACACAAAAAACATCCTTACTGAGCTGTGAATAGTATTTAATGCCAAATGTACACTGTAAAAGAGGGACAGACTTTTAAAGCAGGCATAAAGTATCCTTAAAACACCTGTGCAAAGATACCTTTAAAATATTTATATAATACAAATAATAAAGTCCTAAAACTTACGAGAAGACCCGCCCCTCTTCTCTATATGCATTAAGCCCCTCATCACATGACTTGGAGCGTTCAGTGGTGATGGCCAGCAGGTAAGAAGAACGACGATTAGACTTGGCATCACCTGCTCATAGAGAGAGAGAGAGAGAGAGAGAGAGAGAGATCCATTCATTACAAACAGTGAAAATGCCAAAACGTTGTTTTACAGGAAAGAGAGAGAGTTGATGAAGGACAGTTAGTGTGGAGTTGGGTAGGACACAGGAAGTAATTAGATTAGGTGGGAAAGAGCAGATCTTCACCACAGTCTCAGTAAAATGCGGTGAACTCAATGTACGGCCATTACCGAACGATCATGTGGACTTTTGCGGTATGCAGTACGGCATGCACACATACTACATTTGACTATTTTGTGCAGTGTGACTACGCATGCAGTAGGGGGAGCTCTACGGCGAACACATGCAGCTTCTGAATGTTTACATAACATTTTTGGTGCCATGTTTTCGTGTGTACAGTTCCCGGCATTGATTTGATCATTTAGAAGTAACAGTGTTTCTCGTTCTCTCTGGATCACTCACTGCTGCCGTGGGAGAAAAGGCGGTTGAGGGGAAAGGTGAAGGTTGGGGAGGCGGGACTTGTGGCCACAGCAGGGGCGGAGTTTATACCGCCACTGGACACGACGGAGGAGGCGGGGACATGACGTGCCCGCAGATCTGCACTTGGACTGGTCGGCTCATCTGTGGGAGGAGTGGAATGGAGGAGAGGAGAAGGGGAAGGAAGGAAAAAAGGAAAGACGGAAGACAAGAATAAAAGAAAGTTATATTGGTAAAAGGAGAAAGATTGAAACAAGGCAAACCAAAAAAATAACAAAGGAAGAAAAGGTTAGAGGGGGAAGGAAAATGGTGTTGCACAGTTAATTTAAATACTTTCGGATATCACAATTATAGACCAAAACACAAGAGACTCTTCATCTCTTTACATATAGATCAACACTCAATTTACTAATACAGAGAGAAGAAGGTAAGGAGAAGCTATAGTACTGTCTCTGTCTGTACCCACTGGTCATGTGCTAAATTAAAAACATTAAAGTATGTGATACGTGACAAAGTGAATGGCATTGAGAGCTAAAATAAGAAAAAATAGAGGAAAAGAATGAATAATCAAACAGCATTTTGTACCTGACTCGTAGCCCTCCATGAAATGTGCTTAAAGTGGAAATGAGATCTAAAAGTCCTCTTTGTATTAGCATGTGGTTTCAGTTCTTGCTTAGTGCTCAGTGTTGTAGGCTATGTGACTGATGGGAAGTGGTTTGCTGTTGCAGGTATGCTTTTATAACAAACTAATCGGAGAAAAACATTAACCGTTTTAAGCGAACACATTAAGAGACACGTCTTGTCAATGTTTTTTTTCCCCCCTGAAAATCACACATAACCACGTGTACGATAAGTGGCACCTTAAATGAATTCTTTGGAAAACCCTCTGTTTTCAAGGCATGTGCTTTCTGCGTCAGGTTTTTCTGGCCCTGCAGGGGCAACGTGATCAAATCAAAAACACAATTTGGCAGAACATTTGTATGTCAGTGACTAAGGAGATTCTGTCAACCGGCAAACCACCTGCAACAACACCAATCCACACCATCAGGTGGCAGCAGCGCACAAGCACCACTGAATAAAATGAGCTGTCTGAAGAAGAAGGAAAAAAGGATTCTGAAATGAATCATGCAATCCAGTGTTGGTACTTGGTTTTGATCTGGAATAAGCCTTCAGTAGGTGTTATATCAAAATTTAGATATCTGTTACCTTTGAAAGAAAATAAAGACAGAATTATCCAGATCCTTTTAAACAACAGGGCCCTGCAGGTAGATCTAGCTACACCATCTGAGCATCGTTCTCAATTGACTATCATTCGATAGTAGTAATAGTAAAGTGTTATTGTGGTGTCATCGGCCAATCAGTTTTTCTTGCTTAATTAATCACATGACATTTAGCTCAGGTGACTAAATCAATAAAACCTGGTTGAGATGAAACAGAATGCTTTCTCCAGGTATAATATAGATCTTGTTTCTGAAAGCTGTCATAATATAGTGTGACTATCTTTATCTCATGTCCTCCATCTCTTCTGACTCCATATGAGTCCATTCCTTTCCTTCTTATTCATCAATCACATTCAATGTATCACTTTACCATTGATTACATCACAAAAAACATCAACAGATCTGCAATGAAATGTCTTCTTAATTCCATTGAATCCTTCTTTTAATTCTCTGAAGTTTTCTACCATTTCTCTCACTCACTCTAGAAAGGGAGCAGGGGCGGAAACATTCCCAATCTAGGATGTGGAATCTGGACTGTGCTTGTTTTCCAGCCACTGGCAGAAATAGCTGCTCTGTGGGTTTAACAAAGGCCCTCATTACTGAAGCCTGAGTATGAGCACGCACACACACACACACACACACACACCATAGAGTCTACTTCATGGACATACAGTACAACACTTGCACGTACAGAATCCATCTGTACTGCTTCAACATCAGTCACATGCAACTGACGATGAGATGCTAAATAACCCAACTCATCAGAAGTATGCGTACCTCCAACGACCTATGCATACATATCCACAAAACCAAAGAGTGAAGAACACAAATACTAACATGGTGAGGTTTCCTTTTATAGTGTCACAAATCAAAATGAAACCAGGCCTGACAACACTGTAATCCGAGCAAAAGTGTGATGAGAGAGATTTCTTCCCCAAAAAATGTGTTGTGCTTTAAGGAAGACGGTCACTGGTGAGTTAGCTTATAGCATAGCATGTTAGTGTGTGAATGGTTGATAGAGTGAAGACTCCTCCCGTTTTTATTGGAGACACAATGACCACATTGAGGGCAGAAAGAGCTGAGTGTGTCGATTGTGTCCGGTAATATCTGAATGTGAGAGAGTGTGTATGTGTGTGTCCTTCACCCCTAACCCCAAAACCTCTGCTCCCTGCCACTCTTTCTTCTACAATTTTCAGTCAATCACACAATTGTAAAATGAAGCATAAGGTATACACTAGGTCTAACAACTACATTCACTCCAAAACAATTCAAACTTTGCTTACCTGATTTCCCATACCTGAATGAACTGACCCTTCACTAAGTTTTGCCTGCCTTGGTTACTGTTGGTAACCAGTGGTGGAATGTAACGAAGTACAAATACTTTGTTACTTTACTTAAGTACATTTTTCACGTATCTTTACTTTACTTAAGTAGAATAAATAGTGCATACTTTTTACTTTTACTTCGTTACATTTTGCAGCAATTATTCTACTTTCTACTCCACTACATTTCTACAACTTCTGTTACATTTTCATTACATTTTCTGATCAGTTTTTCCCCTGCCAAAACGTAATCTGACCGTCCGTTCGTTACACGTTTGTCTCACCAGTGACGTTTGGTTGCCATAGATACATCAACTAAATGTGTCTCGCACGCAGTGTGTTTATCGTGCAATTTATACGCGAAAATTAGTTTTTACATGCATAGGAAACACACCGTGTGTAATATACGTTTGGTTAGGATTATGGCAAGCCAAGAGGTTCAGAATTACACCATAAATTAATCGCGTTTACTGCCAAACATAGTTATTAACATATAGTAAGGATATGGCTTATATTGCCTAATTGCAAGCTTGTTTCAGAAATGGTGACAACAATTTTTTTTCCATCATTATTGAACATCATTATAGGAGTATCAGGTTCAATGAGTTAGAATTAAATGTTTTATTAATCATTAGAAAATAGTCATTAAGAGAATCAATGCAAGTACTTTTACTTTTAATACTTAAAGTACATTTAAAATCAGGTACTTTTTACTTTTTACTTAAGTATGGTTGTCATTGTGTTACTTCTACTTTTACTAAAGTAAATATTTATCTGGTTATTTGTACTTTTACTTAAGTACTGAGATTCAGTACTTCCTCCACCACTGTTGGTAACAGAGACCAGCGTTACAGAACCTCCAATGGGAATGAACTGGAGATTTCCATGAACAGTAAAAGTTTTAGTAAAATGTGTTCATGAAGTGATACAAATTGTTGGAGTATTATTCTTATGTGGGCTGGAATGAATAATGATATTACAAAGCCAATGTTTTTTTCTTTAAACACTGTCAGAAAAAAAGGTACGAAAGCTGTCACTGGGGCGGTATACCTTTTCAAAAAGGTACACTTTTGTACCTAAAGGGTGCATATTGGTACCTTCATGGTACACTTTTGCACCTAAAGGGTGCATATTGGTACCTTCATGGTACAATATGCACCCTTTTGGTACAAAAGTGTACCTTTTTGAAAAGGTATACCGCCCCAGTGACAGCTTTCGTACCTTTTTTTCTGACAGTGAAGAAAATAGTATATTTAGCTGTGTATGTTTTTTTATGCAATGTTAAATAAGCAGGGTTATTATAGTTTACAAAAATTATGAAAAACACTTAAAAAAGTTAACTGAAATAATGTCAAAATTAAAAAAGGCTTATTTTATTCCAGGTACATTTCCAATTTTAATTTAATTTAACTCAAACTGAAATTAAAAAAAAGAAAATGAATATCTATAGACATGTTTACAAAAAGCTAATAAAACTGACTGACATTTTACTAAAACTTTAAAACTGAAAATATAAACCAATGAATTCAAAATTAATCAAAAGATTAATAAAAATGACAAAAATATTCTGAATTTTAATAGGCACTGAAAATGCAGACATGGGGTAAATAGGCTTTTAGTTTGTTGCATGTGCTGTAGATTCATTATTATATGACCATAAGCAATGAATACCATTTGACTCCGAACATCCAATTACACCAAAACAATAATGTAGTTTCAGAACTATTCACCCAAATCAATAAAGAGAAGGTCTAGTACAAACAACTCCACTGACATAGCAGGTAGAGCAAGACAGACTGTCTGTTGTGTTTTTATCACTATGCTGTAACATGTCCCAGCTTGTGGGCATTTCTGTTAGTTTCAGTTTGTTATGCCTCTCCACATTCATCAATCTCTAAAACAGGACCTGGGACACAACCCCTTGCTCCCATCATAAATATGTAGTTACATTCTTGCAATAATCCTAAACATACACAGACACAGTGCAAGGAAGATCATAAAAACAAATGTAATCAAACTGAAGGCTCTAACTCTGGGCGAGGGGCATGTTGTGCTGTAGCTGTACAGGTGTGCATTAGCAGGAACGTGCTTCTTTTCTGTGCCAAATGCTAAAGGTGGGGCACTTTTATGCAAAGCACAGTGGTTACAGGCTTAACCTCTCTCAGGAATGAAAGCACCGCACTAACAACAGCTTATGCAATCAACAGATCATAAAAGATGTCCAGCAGTGAAATGACAGAACAATTAAAAAAATCACTAAGAAATAGCCCTAAAATGAATTGGTTTTGTTCTAATGCTGCCATTACTACTTCTAATGCAATGTTAAAGGAAAGCAAATGACCAACTGAAAGCTTTTAAGGAAACTGCTAAATCAATAGCACTCCACTTGAATCCAGCTGTGCTATAAACATAATTAGAGGAAACATAGGCAACCATATATAACTGTGTTGCACATCTAACAGTAAGAGTTTTGGTGTCTACATGTCTATCACAGTTTGTTTTGAATATTTTGCATTCAACCATCCATTTTGTTTCAGATTTCCTCTTGCACTATGGTTTGGTAATCAAGGCAAGCAGAGACAAGATCACTTTGAGCAACAGGCAAGGTCGAACATACAAACTACAGACACAGAAATCTGCTGTTTGTTTTCAATTAAAACTAATCATAATTACTATAAAATGAACCCTAACTTAACACTTACCTTACCTTTAAAAGAAAACTCGAGAGATTAGTTACTTTATGAGCCTTTTCCCTAATTGAGGGTGTCTTTTTAATTTGGCTTTGTAGGATTTAGCTAACATCTGGGGTTATCAAATCCGTGTTCCCACCAAGGTTATGGGTTAATTTCCCAGAGTCAATTTGGATAGAAGCGTCTACCAAATGCATAGAACTGTAGAAACGGGATGGAATTGGGTGAGGCACTGGAAAAGTGGAAATAGAAGAAGAGGAAGAGAGAAAAACAGGACTGATTTAAATCCAGTAAGTCTGATTCAGCCACAGACAACTAATATTGTCGGGCTGACCATGGGAGATTCCAGCCTTACCTAATGCATAGACATGCACATTGATTCACCAGACATAGGAAATGAAGGGTAAGACCAGTGGGGTTGTGAGTTATTAAAACAAGTATAGTCATTCTCTAACATTCCCATCAGTCTATTTTAACGGTGTCTGAAGAGTTAATCAGTTTCCTTTTAACAACCGATAACAATGTGCAGGATAGAGTGAGCAAATGATGGGACGAGATGAAATGGAGATCATGACATGGCAGTAGGGACTTACCTATAAAAGGAATCGAAGCGAGGGAGTCATCCTCTATGGATAGTGGTGGCAGATTTCCATTCGTGCGGCGATGAGAAATAGCACTTTCTGCTTTGGCAGGGGCCTCCGTAGGGTCAGAGGTAAAGAGTAGAGGGTCACTGGAGTCAAGTGCTATGGCGTAATGTGGATGTCGATGGGTGTTTGGACCCCTGCGGCCAGTGGGTGGTTTCTGCCTCAGAACTACTTCCTGTGTCTGGGCTTCACCTGTTGGTTCCCCTGCCCCTCTGTCATGATTAGTGGGTCGGTAAGTTCTGTCTTGTCCTTCAGGGGGTGTGGGAATCGCAGTTGTAGAGGAGGTGGTTGGTGGGGCTGGGGAAGAAGCGGCCGAGGGTGGAAGCCCCTCTGGGGGACTGGTTTTGGGTGTAGGAGTCCAGAGGCGTGGACCTGTATAAGAGGGGTCTCTAAATGACTGGGCCTGCTGCAGGATACGTCCAGTCTTGCGGTTGAAAGAGGGGCTGTAGCTGCGGTAGCCAATCGGCTCCTCGTCTAGACTCTGGCAAGAAGGCAAGCGTCTTGCCTGTGGAGCTGCCTGCTGAGGTTGTGGAGTCTGAGAGGGGTATTGGTGTGCTGTATGTGTGAGGTTTTGATGCTGAGGTGTGTGTTGATGGTGTTGTGTTTGGTGGGACTGTTTTTGTTGGTGGGACTCTGCGTGTTGCCCACAATGTCCACCACGTCTCGGATATCCTTCAGGTCTGTGTGGGGGCTGCTGGACCCAAGTGGATCTTTCAACTCGTGGTGAGAGAATCCCCACAGCTCTGTCGAGAGTTTCCAGTGAACGTCCCGAGTGTCCGTACCGGATTGCTAGAAGGTTTTCGGAGGAATTGCGCCCATAGCCCACCGCAGATGGGTGCTGTCCATATGCATGCTCGCCACGCCAGTCTCCTTGGTTCCAGTAGGGATCAGGGTACGCTGCAGAGCTCTGCTGAAGCAGTAGCAATGTGTCTTGTGATGCACTGTGGGGAAAGCCTGCTTGCTGCGACCGTCTGGCCCTACCAAGCTCACCCAGGCGGTCCTGTGAGAAACTCCTATGGCGTGGGAGCATGGAGCGAGAACTAGATCGCTCCCGCTCCCGCTCTCGCTCGCGGCCTGGTACCTGGCTGTAGTACCAGTTGGAAAGGGCTTGTTGGGTGTGTTCGTTACGGCTGGATGGGGGTGTTGATGTTGGCTGAGAAGGGCTTCCCTTGCGGCCTCCAGTGTGCCCCATGGCAGTACCCACATTGTGGTTGGCAAAATGAGCGTGATGCAATGGGCTCATAATTCCTCCTGAAGAGGAAGAAGATGAGTGTGAATGTCCTCTCATTTGTCCAATTGCTTGTTGTCCCCTGTCAGTCATTCCATACTGGATCTCCTCAGTTCGGTGTGCAGGGCTACTGTGACTAACACCTCCTGGCTCACAGTTCCTGCCCTCAGCTGCCCAGACAGCGTTGCTGGAAGTGACTGTCCGGTTGTCAAGGGGCGGAGAAGGACCAGAGGAAGAGCCGGGCCAGCGGCTCCAGTTGTCCAGCTGGTTTTGCCCCATATATGAGGAAGCTGGGGCAGGGGAGGGGGAGTACCCCGCAGGAGGCTGGGATATTGTACGTGGAGGGTAGAGAACAGGGGGTGGAGGAGGAAGATTTTGGGCCTTTCCTGTATATGGATTGTTCCCTCTTAGGTAGGCATCATGGGAATATGCCTGAAAGAGAGAAATGCAATTTATTTAATTCTAGAAGAACATAAAGGGGTGGCTGAAGTTAATGAGAGTGAGAAAGTCCTCAAGGGGTATAGGTGAAAAATTTGAAGAAAAAAAGGGGTTATAGAGATTACATTTCTATGACAATGAGACACCATTACGATATACTGATCATGCGTTTGTGTCATAATAGAGTTTCAGTGTAATACTAGCTTATCAAACACCAACACAAACACACCTTAAAAAACAAACCGGACTAATCTAAAAACATTTAGGTGACAGGGATGACTGCTAATATAATATAATGATTTTAATAAACAGCTTTGGGAACTGTAACTTCAATGATCTGAAAAATCTGAGATTCATGTGAGATTCACCACACTGCAAAAAAAATTTTTTTTTCTTGTTTTTCCAGTTAAAAAATATAATTTTACATCAAATGTTAGTTAAATGAAATTATGCACAATATGTATATAGATTTTTGTGACTACTGTGTGACTGTAGAGAGGATGTCAAGCTAACCAGAAGCTGACCAGCCTTCCATCAACACTAACCTCAAAACACACTGACACAAACTCAACATATGTGACATTAAGAATTTATTAACAAATCAGAGACATGGCTCACTGACGAAAAGCTGTCTTGACTGCAGACAAGCAAATCGTCTAACACAGCATAGTACATGCAGTCTGCTAATACATGCAAATACAACCAACGCGGAGAGAATTGAAACTCACTATTCGAGTGAAACATTCCTTAAAGCTCAAATGTGTCGAACGGCTCCCTTTTTCTTTATATTGTTTTCTTAACAGCTTGAATTTACCTCATATGTCCAGATTTGTGCTTTCTCAAATTCATGTCTCGTTGTCACGTCTCTCTGTTATTCTCGGTATCTCTTTTTTCTTTCTGTCTATGAGCCCTACCCAACCCAACGCTCTTGAACTCCCTCCTTTCTCTCTCCCTCTCTCATCGTCTCTCCGCCCTGTGGGAGTGTGGGAGGGGCCACCTATCTGATGATGTCATCTCTGGAATGTAGATGATGCGGGTGTAAGGAGGGGTGTGTAGAAGGACAGAGAGAAGGAGAGAAAGACATGGAGGGAAGAATAGTGGAGTAAGGAGGAGTGGGGTCTCTTGGGAGGCTATATGGGTAATTCGCCTAGCATGAGTGCCCTCGTATGGATATTTATTGAAGTGTGTATAAAGCATGTGTCTGTATGTCACACACTTGTGTAAAGGCTTCCCTTTGCCTTTGGTGACTTGCATGCTCAATCTTGTGGAACTGAAGAAATATGCGAGTGGGAATGTTTGAGCGCTGAAAGAATGAATACATGTTTGTGAGTATTTGTATGTTTGTGTGTGTTAGTCGTATGACGGATGTTTGAGTTCTTGCATGAGAGCGCTTCAAAGACACTGCTGAAGCAACCTACTGACTCACAGATTGCTCTATAATGACTACTGCAAGTAGTTTGAATTCGATTTGTTAATACATATTCAGACATTGGAGTTGTTAAACCCATGCTTTTGCATCTATTTAAAAGTGTCGGAAATGTGAACACACCTTTGAGGTTGTGGGTTTACTAGCTACTGTATATTTGGAAATAAAACTAGACCAAGTTGTTACCTAAATTCTATACTCTAAAAATGCTAAATGTTCACATCACAAACATTTTCTTAATCATTATATTTACCTTGTTTTCCAGTAAAAAAAAAAAAAAAATACAATAAAAAAATGCTTAAAACAAGATACATTTACTTAACCAAAGTGGAAAAAGACATATATTAAATAGATTAAGCATAAATGTAATTTAATTTCAAAATGTATGCTTAAAAAAAACAAAAAAAACTTAAAATGATTTATACAATTTAGTTATATAATATAGTATAATTATATATATATATATATAATATAGTATAATAATATAATATAATATACCTCTTAAGATAGTTAGGTACATGTATGTGAGTGGGTGTATGCACTGTTTTTACTCAATAAAGTGACGTTTCAGCTATATACAGTATTAAATGCAGTGTAAAGTTTAATTGTGTTTTAAGAAATATTATTGTTTTAGTGAACTCGAATAAAATAAGTTCGGAGTACTCATAACTATTGTTTTTTATAAACTTAAATGAATTGAGGCAATCGGTTTCCTCAAATGAAATGAGTTAGCTTAACTTGTTGGGTTTTACAGTGTGAGAAAAGGTAAAAATGCTCAAACGTACACTTACCAGCTGCAGCACATCATCGTCCTTTGGCATGATGGAGAGCTCCAGTACACTCTCACTGAAAAGACAAGAGAGCATGAGATTCAATAAGAATATATACAGTATGTAGTGTTTACAGTAAAAAACATTTATAGATTCCATTAATCCATCTCCATTAATAGTTTTGGGTTGTGATTTGGATTGAGTTCAAAGCCACCATTTACATTGTGGTCAATTCGGTCCGATTATCTGTAATAACCTTTCTACGTAATGCACATAATTGTCCAGATTATCGGCCAAACACTGCCTGAGGTCATCCTGCTACATAAATCAAGCAGTATGTCACAAATTCACACATAAACAAGGCTTATGTGTAAATGTTTAGTTATGTTCTGTTCGTTCAACTTTAAACTCAACCATTTAAACAATATTGTAGATTAAGACATCATATGCATTTACTTCCCAAGCTAGTTCTGGACAGCTGTAGAAAACCTAATTTTCATTAGCTCATGCAAAGAACTTTTTTTGACTTTGAATGGATTATTTGATGGTGTTCGACTTGAGGAGCTCACCTGTTCTGAATCAGTGCAATGACCTGTGAGTACGTTTTACCCAGCACACTCTCTCCATTTACTTTAACCAGCCTGTCTCCTGCAAATTCACACACAAAAACACACTTATATGACAAACATTTACAGCAGGGTTTCCCAACCTTTTTTTTGTCTAATGTGCACAGCAACCAATAAGGCTCAAGTACCCCTTACAAACCAGAAATGTGTTCCATTATACCGAATGTCATTTTGCAGAAACCATAATATTATTAAATTCAGTTAATACCAAAACAACCAATACTACTCACATTAGCAAATACGTAACTGCTCATTGCTCAAATGTTTTAAGTCCAGTAAGTTTTCATATAAAAATTCATATAATTTAGCAAAAGATTTGTATTTCAAACAAATGCTTGTTTCTACAAAAATATTAAGCAGCACAATTGTTTTCAACACTGATAACAACAATAATAATAATAATATTTCTTGAGCAGAAAACCGTATTAGAATGATTTCTGAAGAAACTGTAGTAATGATGCTGAAAATTCAGCTTTGACATCACTGGAATAAATACTACTTTAAAATTTAGCAAAATCGAAATCTGTTGTTTTCAATTTACTCCTATTTGACAATATTACAGTTTTCACTTTATTTTTTTTAAATTAATTAAATACAGCCTAGTTGAGCATAAAATAAACTACTTTCAAAAACTTTTTTTTTAAATATTTGAAAAATTTGAACAATATTGTACATGTTGATATTATTGTCATCAACACAAAAGCATTTATTTACTACTTTTACTAATAAATTATACAAAAGCATAATTTATTAATAATTTTATAATTGGGCTTAGTGTTTTTAAAGTTTATTTTTCAAAAACAAACGTTGCAACATTTTTTTACATAGAGAAAGTGTGCAGTCTGTTTGTATAATAACGATTAAGTAGACTCATTCCATGTGTTCACTCGGTTTTCCTTAAATGACGGGTGTGTTTTGGGTTCATGTCAGGGTTAGGTTATGGGATCAACTCAACCAGCGGCGGCCTCCCATTACCAATCATATTAAAACACAATAATCACAGGTAGAGCATGATCTGTTGCATTCATTGCCTGTGTTGACATGGAAGATGTGTGCACGGGCTCCTTGGAAAACTCATTATAATGTGTCTGAAATTAGTGAGGCTATGTGTGTATAGGAGAATATATACCAATATGGTAAACATACTGCAGTCTTGCATGAAAGCAGGTAAAGAAAACAGTTTCTCATGTTCAAATTTACTCTGTTCAGAGTCAGACTCTCTCGTTTTGTCTGAACACAGTGAGAGTAAAGTGGACCATCCATGTTTAGTCAAAGGAAGCATGACCAAGTGTGTCATGCCATAGCAGCACTTCAAAAATGTCTTAGTATAGTGACATAATAAGACACATTCCTGTGAATCTGTGACGGGTGTCCAGGATAATCATCGAGTTAAATGGGCAAGTCATAACAAGAGATCACATATGTGTGCACACGAGTTCACCGGGTGGGAATGATCAAAGCTAAAATCATTATGCACGCAAAGCCGTGTCCACACACACATACACCAAACACAATCACGTGTAAACTGTGGATTAAAAACTCTTCAGAACTGAAACCGTCAACAACATAGTTATCTAGACTTTCCATTGAATTTCGGGGTTATGTGAGGTTTGGATAAACTCAAGGCCTTCTCACTCCAACATATATATATATATTATGGAAAATTCCGTTCAGATGCAAAGTTCAGATGCAAAAGCCTCTAAGTGCCATTTGAAATTTTCTTCTAAAATGATCATTTTTATCAAGCTTGTATATTTAAGTTCAGTAATTTCACCTAAATGGCAATGAAGATTACCTATTAATTGTCATTTAAGTGAAATTACTGAACTTAAATACACAAGCTTGATAAAAATGGTCATTTTAGAAGAAAATTTCAAATGGCATTTAGAGGCTTTTGCATCTGAACTCTTCATATATATATTGTATCAGACGTTTGTATCAGTCTGAACAGACACATTAACAGCAATTCATTGAAATTAAAATGTTTACTGCACCGAATTGTCATCCCAAACATTTGTGTGAACATTGGAGTGAACAGGCCATTCGTCTGATGTCATGTCGTTTCTATGAACATATAATTTCATCTGCACACACACAGTTTTCTTCTCTCCTTTACCTGTACACAAGCCGGCCTGGTGGGCCGGGCCTTTCTCCCTCACATTCTTAACGAAGATGGTGTCCATGGGCTCCAGACAACTCCGATGAAGCCCTGAACGAAACACACAAACACAACCCTGTTCACAACCATAGACAAATACATACCGCATAGCAAATTCATAGTTTGTGCAAAAACAGAAGACACTACAGTGGCTCTGCAAAAAGAATCTGGGATTGAAATACTAATAAATCTAATGAAAATGAGCAAAGATTATGAACATTTTTAAAATATTGATGACCATTAAGATGTAAAATGAGTACACATTTCAGATTTTGACTGATTAATTAAATAAGTAAATTAATGAGATTGATCACGTGACACTTTATTAAAGAGAGTTAGATGCTCTTCCACTGAAGCTCGATGCTCTTTGGATCACCTCCAAATAGGGACATTTGTCTTTGACACTAATTTACTGTTTTAATACTTTTGGTAATTTAAATTCACAGTACTGTAGTTTTCTTTTTTTTTTTTTAAAAATAGAAATAAAACATGTTGCCTTATTTGAAAACTAAATAAAGATTAGGGGTGCAAAAAAGAAATAGTTTCACAAGTAGACTTCACTGTACAGAGACGCAAACCCACATACACAGATGTTTAGATTGGCACTGAGGAATGTGTTTTGCTCTTACTGATGCAGTGTCTCATCGTGATGACATGATAAGATGAGGACAGACAGTCAACAAACACCTGTCTTATTTCATCAGATGAACTGTCAAAAGCAGCTTTCATTTCACAAATCTGTGTGTAGATGCACATGTGTGTGTGTGTGTACCTCTATATGTGTAGTGCTGCACGATTAATCGTTAAATGATTGAATTTGTGATCTAAATGAAAACACCCCCGCAATCTTATTCCTAAATGACAATAGGAAACATACAGGCATGAAATACAGGCTTCACAAACAGTCTTTTCAACCACAGTATCATTATTTCTATTACAATAATTAAAATGTTCACAGAGGAACTGGGGTATAAGTTTATAGTTTGGATATAAACAATGATGGTTGCGATCAAAATAGAATAAATCACCTTGTAAAAGTAACTTGATAAAATAAAGATTGTATCAAAAACACCATAACGCCAAAAAGGGGTGAGAAATTACAGCTAATTCTTTTTCATCTGTCATTAAATTGTTACTTCCAAGAGATTAATTTTCTAGAAGTTGATTGATTCCTCCAGTAATGAAATTGTGAAGTATTATGAGTGAGTCATTCATTCAAACCTTTTTTTATTTATTTAAATAATTCCTTCAAATAAATGAACTCTCTCTCTAAAATGGACTGAATGTCCATCATTTATGAGACGATGCTTCGAATTTTCCGGCTTTCCTCATTTTCAGTGTTATGCAGTAGGTGGGCGCTATTACTTCTGAAAGAGTAGAGAATCTCCGGATCAAAAAACACAGGCAAAATAGGAGTGGCGATAAACAAGCAATAAAAGCATTGCTTGTGCACGTTGCTGTCATTGGGGGGGAAGTTTTTTGTTCAAAATGTTGCCTTTTTTTTTTAATGAAACTTACCTACATTAAAGTGTTGCATGAAGCTAGAATAAAACTTTTTCTTTAAAACAGAGGTTCTGATCTTGCTTTTAATATATTGCATGATCAGATAATATACAACAAAATATTCTGGGTGCCATGAAAATGATCAAAAACTGAATGACATGCATTTAATTTTTCTGTTTTCCATTAAACCCGTTTCCATGTACAAGTACATTGGTATATAGTATTGCGATATGATATCTGTTTTGTTTGATATGGAAATGATTGCACATTTTTCATATGACAGAACTTGCAAATGATATATATCTCATATCAGCTGTGCTCATTCCTGTAACCCTGCTTAAAGGGTAACTAAACACCAAAACAACTTTTTTTAGTTAATGATCTGTAAGAATGGAGCTTCATAAATGCTGTTCATTGATTCAAATACATTTTTTGACAATTGAGTATAAAGTGTTTTGATTTTCAAATATATGGTGTAAAAACGTCTGAGTGCTGCCCTCTTCAGGTTAAACGGAAAGCTCCTGCAGTAGGGGTACTTGCTGACGTAGCGAACTCTCAGACGCACTCTGTCACACCCTTGGTGCGAGCTCACCACGCCCTTGGCAGCCCCTGGTATAAAAGCATCTGGTTCCGTCAAAAACTACTGTAGCGAGTCAGGAGTTGGATTTATGAGTATTGAAAACGATCAGGATAGCATATAATAGCATCTAGTTAGCATAGCATTTATATAGTTATTTAGATTATTTTTGAAAACGACCAGGATAGAGTATTGTTGCATCTATTTAGCATAGCATTATATAGATAATTTAGATTATTTTGTGTAGCTAGTAGCATAGTACGGTTAGGATAGCTTCAAGTTAGCATAGATTTATCAGTGTTTAGTACAGTGATCAGGATAGTAACGGAATAGAGGTGGACATGGGCTTCTCCACACGCAGTGCCAAACACTGCTCGTCCTGCATGGACTCCTCCACCGCAGCGGCGTCTTGATGTGAGTGATCATGGATATTTTAATCACAATTTATGGTTAGGATAAAGTTAATCCTCTGGGGTCGACAAACGAGCCGGTACATTTTGCTGGATTTTTTCATATAGCGGCATAATATCAATATGAATATATGCCAGCGTGCGCTATTGAGATCAACTCGACGACATAACTCATCAGATGCCGGTCGCGATGCGGGAGTTAAGACCGCAGTTTGAGCCAGCAGCTCGAATGGATTTGGCCCTGTGTCTACATACAATTCACCCTCATCCACTTCAGGTGAAGGTGAAGGTGAGGGAGAAAAGTCCTCGACTTCAAATGGCCGCTCTATTGCAAAGGCAGCTACTTGTCACTCCAGTCTCGCTCTATTTTAGAGTCTGACAGCAGCTGTCACTCACGGCGGGTCTCAGGTGCACGCCCCCTAGCCCCGCTGGGGTCTGCCCATTTTTTCAGCATTTTTCAAATATTGCTAGTGGGTGGAGTCAGGCTCTGACCAGGGGTTTAGTTACCCTTTAAACCAGACTGATTTGAATGCAGATGGGCAACTTTAGTGTGCATAAATGGAAACTTGCTCTAGGGGGTGCAATGCAACAAAATTCCCTGACCATTGACCACGTGACACTAAATTGCTTATGCCACAATTTAATCTCAGATCAATCACTGAGAGATGATAATATACAGTATGTAAGATGAAGAAACACAGAAAAAATGAGAAAAACAAAGTGACTCCAAGTTTAGTCTACTCATAATTTTGAAGGTGAGTGACAAATCATCTTCAAATTATAAGAAATTTGTTGAGATGACTGCAATTCACATGATGTTTTTAAAAACAAAGAAATATAAAAGATAGACTCACCCTTTCCATTCCCATTCTCTTCATCCTAACAGGAAACAATAAGAGGAGAGTTAGATCACTGCAAAATAACATAACGTAATTTACAAAAGACAATACTTATTACAGAGGATAATAACTCACTTAATAGAAATTGTAGTGTTACTCATCCTTGTGTCACATGTATTTTAAAAAGCAATATGCCTTTCTTAGAAGGCAAAGGGTGACATTTTGAACAAATATGCTGGTTACTGATTCATTTCCATGCAATTACAATGACTGAGGATGAGGACTGAGTCTGCACATCTATATTTATATGGAGTCTAAGTACACAGTGATATCAGCCCTGACTTTGTCTCGGCACTAGAGGTCAGCACTGGGAATATGGACTCCTCTAGCAGTGAATTTGCTGCTTTTAGCCACAAACATACACAAACACACCTTCTCAAGCAGAGCCGGAAACACATTAATCTTTCCATCTGTGCTGGAAATGACATAGTATTCCTAATATTCATTGTGAATCTTTATTTACAACAGACACAGTTTAGATAACACACATGCACCACCTTCACAAAATAACCAGACTGCAAACCAGAGGCTCAAATGACACACACGTGCAACGCTGATCAGGCAGTTTAAAGTGGGCAGCCCAATGTTTAGTCTGCGCTGACTGCGCTCATTCCTAACAAACTCACACAATACTGAGGCTTTGCACTGCCGGGAGAAAGACAGACAGGGGGGCAAATAGATGAGTAGGGAGTGACGGACAGTGACCACAACTTTAAGGTTTATAATCAGCATCCAACCCACAGATCAAAATGTAAGTCCACGTGTGCATTAACTAGAAGCTGAAGTGGTGACAGATGGAGAGAGTCACACAGTCATGTGACCATGTGGACACTGGGAACAGTGAAGAACAGAATGGACCAGAACACATTGTCCCAGCAGCCCTGGTACGGCCCAGCCCAGTTTAGAGTGCGTGTGGTACCAGTCAAACACAAAATAGGCCTTTTGACAAAAGCAAACAGCAGCTGCTCAGAGAAGAGATGCCATATAGACCAATCATAATGGGGCTTTGTTTCTCCATCATCATGTACACACACACCATTCAAACATCTATAGCCCGCTCTCAATAATAATATGCACTACCGATCAAAAGTTTGGGATTGGTAAGATTTCTCAAGGTCTTTTTTTATAAGTAAAAACTGTGAATATTGTGAAATATTAGTTCAATTTAAAATAACTGTTTTCTATTGTTATATTTTTTTAAATGTAATTTATTCCTGTGACGGCAAAACTGAAATTTCAGCATTCTTCACTGTCACATGATGCTTCAGAATCCTGTTGCTTAATATTTTTGTGGAAACCTTGATATATTTATTTTCCAGAAGTTCAAAAGAACAGCGTTTATTTGTAACTGTAATCTTTGGTAACAACATAAATGCCTTTACTGTCACTTTTGATCAATTTAATCCATGCTTGCTGAATGAAAGTATTCATTTTTCAAAAAGAAAATCTTACAACATAAAACAGACAAAGACACTTTATCTCCACTGCATTTACAACATGTAATAAATATTTAAAAGTTAATAACTGCACATATCTACATTTTACAGCATGAAAAAGTAGTTCCAACAATCAGATGTCATGTGACCAAACATGATTAGCCGTCTCATGGCTTAATTTGTATAAGCTGTCCCTTTTTTAAAGTTCATTGGTAGATTACACTGTATCTTTCCCTGTTTCTCCAGCATCTTTTTCTAAAGAGAAAAAAGACCAAAGGAAAAATGATGCCAGTCTGGCTCTGAGGTCAAGTCCAACCACTATTGCTAGCGTGGCTTAAAGGAGAACTCTGGTCAATTTTAACATGAGCTCATTTTTTTGTACATTTGGAGTGTTGTCAGTACAGAAAAAAAAGGATGTCTTTTTTATTTAGTCTTTTTAAAATCCTCACCCTGTTGACTTCAATGGGGCAAGTTCTAAACCTGCTTTTAGCCTCTTAAAAGCCTTGATTTGTCATTACGAGTGCACAGCCATGTGAGTGGCGTTATTAAGAGTGACCACGGTCAATCTGACTGCAGTAGATGTGAAAGATATGAATAAAAATGATGTTAATTCAGCCAGCTCGCATACCTCTATTTGCTACCTGTTTTCGGTCGAAGCCCACAGTAGTGGATTGTCGATCTCTCGCACGCGATCATTAGTGAATATTATCTCAAACCTCCTCCGTGTGTTCAACATCTGATTCGGATGAACTATCCATTTGAGCTCATATTCTCAGAACATCACACAGTGGTAGGTTTGAGATGATATTCACCAATGATCGCGTGCGTGAACTCCAAAATCGACTACTGTGGGCTTCGACCGAAAACAGGAAGCAAATAGAGGTATGCGAGCTGGCTGAATTAACATCATTTTATTTATATCTTTCACATCTACTGCAGTCAGATTGACCGTAGTCACTCTTAATAACACCACTCACATGGCTGTGCACTCGTAATGACAAATCAAGGATGTTACGAGGCTAAAAGCAGGTTTAGAACATGCCCCATTGAAGTCAGCAGGGTGCGAATTTTTAAAAGACGATAACACGGTGTAGGCAACACCGATTTTTGTCGTTTTTTTCTGTACTGACAGCACTCCAATTGTACGAAAAAATGAGCTCAATGTTAAAATTGACCAGAGTTCTCCTTTAAACACTTAAAAATAAAGTTCCTAATAAGACAAAAGGGGTTTTAGATTCTGATGCCAAAATTTTGTCTTTTTAAAGTTTCAAAAAATTTGATACCAGAATATTTCTTAAGCCCCAATATTGCAAATGGTTCTTCATAAGAAGTTTCTTCATAAGAACTTTATTTTCTTTAAGATAGAAGGCCTTGAAGGCTGAATGAGCACTACTTAACTACTGTTTGTAGTTAAGAGACACAGGGCTTGGTTTTGTGATAGTTGGCAGGCATCCTTCCTCACCTTGAAAGTGGTGTGCAGGGCAGACTCTGGTGGGTAAACGATGAAGTGACGTAGCGTAAAACCAAAGCCCTGAGAGTTCTTTTGGAGCACCAGTGTACGTGGACCCTGCCAGGACATGCCCAACCCATCTGCCCCGCTCCTGACCACCGGCCGAGGGTTCTCACTGGATGAAGAGGTCCCATCTCTCCACCCCTTTGCCTGGAGGAAACACAGAAAGATATTTGAAATTAGACATTCGCCATTGATAAGCGCAGTCCAAAACTACTATTCCACAGGGATTACATGTCGCATAGAAAATTGTATCTAACGCAAAAGCTCTCCTGTAGCTCAAACAGTAGTGCAAGGGTCTGATTCCCAGGGAAAGCAAGAACTGATCAAATGTAAAAGTATACCTTGAGAGAAATGTAAGTCGTGTGGGATAAAAAATGTCTGCCAAATGCATAAGTGTAAATTAAACGAATCTGTGTTGATGAACGCATCACATTTAATGTGATAATTGGAGAATGCTCTTGGCAGATAATTGCAAGAAATAACACCCTGTTGTTCCAAATGACCATCCCAACTGTCTGTCTACTTACGCCACCTGTACAAACAAGACGTGGGTATGTGAGGAAAAGTAACTAAAAGGGGGAGGGGCAAGGGAAACATTTCACATGTGGGAACCATGATGTCATTTTTGTGATGCCACCATTCTCTAAAGGGAATTCTTAGAGGCCACTAACATTAGATAGTAGGGATACTGGCCAAGGATCTGTACAGAAACCAAATCAAATAATCCCTTGATTGCTGGGACGAAATAGGTATTTGCTGGAGTTTTATTTAAAAGGTGACATCATCATTCCCCTTATTTTGCAAGAAAATAACTCTTTCCTCTCCAACCTAAAATCAACAACCTCACCAGCCCTGTGGTTTTACTATAACAGGAAGTATCTGGTTAGGGCAGGAAGTTCCCCAGGGACGGTGCCAGTCGCCATATACATGTATATATAAACAGAAGGGGATTTTTTGTTGTTGTTCTTGCCAACTCATTTCATACAAAGCAGACATGTACTTCTCAAATCTCTGCTCTTCACCTCCCTTTACTCCTCACTTCTCTCTGCACTCAGCAGAAGTCCTAGCCTATAATCCAGCGGTCCTGACACCGACCGCAAGCTCACCCCCTCTCTGTTTCTCACTCTATTTCTGTCTCACACACTGTTTTCATTTGGCTGGGCTTATGTCTGAACCTTCTCTCTTTCACTTGCATTCTTACCAACTTGCACGCATGAACACACACAGATAGACAAATGGTAACGCTCGTTTTTAAACAGTCCCGCATATTGTGTGGAATGATGTAATATTTTTATTTAATTTGCTGAATGAATGTACTTCCTCTGTGGAACAAAAAATGAGAAATTGGGCAGAATGTACTTTTGCATTCAATAAAAATGGCCAAGTCATTTTTAGCTCGAATCCAATCCATTCCATTGAATGACCAATTTTTTAACTCATTATATGTGATGCGATCTGGGAAAACCCGCCGGATGTCGCGCTGGTACGTTTTCAGTAAAATCTAAATATAGATTGAAAATCAGTTTTTTGCCAAAATTGGGTTTTTATTGAATTATTATTCTATAACGTATACTCTTGTTTATCATCTCTGAATATATCTTAGGAAAAGTCACTAGTTTAGAGCAGAAAAGGGTTAGCGGAGCGGAGGGGCAAAAGACAATATATCCCGTTTAGCTCTCCTTCTCTTAACACTACAAAGACAGTTCACCTATCAAACTAAACTACATAACAGAATAAAGTCCAGTCCTGGCTGGGTGAACTACAACGGCAGGCAAGTTTTTATTTATTTATATCCAGCGTTATCGCGTGGTGTGATGCGGAGCAGGTTGAATTTTGAGTTTGTAAGCTTTCGAATGATACCTAATCTATGATGATTACTAAAATATGTGATATGAAAAAAAGGCAATAAATAAAGAGTGCCAGTCGTCCCGCTAACAGGACGTGACCATTAATTAAACCGTTTTTTCTCAAAATTCCATTTCTGAAAATCTTAGCGATCAGCCGACTTCAGATAACCACAACTTTTGTTATGGAAAAACGATAAAAGAAATAAAAACAGATTTGGAAAGGGCTTGAACCCAGCTTATATGGTCTCAAAACCTCTAATATGTCAAATTTCACCATGTGGTGGGTTTTCCCAGATCGCATCACATATGGAAAAGAGCAGCAAGAACATTCTGCTAAACTTCTTATTTCTATAACTGTAAGGTTTGGCACCATCCAATTTATATTGGGTGAATTATCCCTCTAGTATTTTGAGAAGAAAAAAAGGAGTGAAAAGACATTTTTTTGAAAATATCTGAGGAATCATGGATCTCTCTACTTCACATTAAACAGATGAAACCAATCTAAACCATTTAATGAACAAACACAATAGTTTAAAAATATCTCACCATCAGTGCTTGGGCCCTAATTAGATAGATACATTTACTTGACAAGCTTATATATTACAAATATATTAAGAGACTTGTCTTTCTCCATTTAAATTCTTCAGAGCTTTTAGCAGAGTTCATGCACGCGTGGGCCTGCTCAATGGATTAGAGAGACAAATAAAAGTGAAAGACACAATAAGGCTGTGTAAGTGACAGAATGAATGTACAGGGGCATGTGTGAATTCCATAACAGTTACCGTTAAGCCAGGACATGTTCAGACAGAGATGGAAAGGCTAGCCTTAGAAAGAGAAAGAGAGTCTCCAACAAGCTCCAACACGCAGGTTTCGACCACAAGGTTCCTCCCGGCACTGAGAATACCAAACCCTGTTATTACCCCCCCAAAACACACAAGTGTACACACAAACACATGCACACATGTAAGTCCAGTAATGTCCAACCATTTAAAGCACTAAACTTTTCCTCCACATCCTGTTTTTTGTCATGTAGGTTTCTTCATCACTAACTTTCTAATGGATTGGAAACGTGATTATCCAGGGAAACCAAATACTAAACTCAAACACGTCATCTCTTTGACGTCACCCCTCCAATGTTCTCCAAGAACAAGAACATTCCTATTAAAGGGAAAGTTCACCCAAAAATGAAAATTAGCCCATGACTTACTCACCCCCAATCTATCCTAGGTGTATGACATTCTTCTTTCAGACGAATACAATACGAGTTACATTAACATAAAAAATGTCCTGGCTCTTCCAAGCTTTATAATGTAGTGAATGGCCGGTTTCTGTTTTGAAGTCCATAAAAGTCCATCTATCCATGCTAAAAGTGCATCTATCCATGATAAAAGTAATCCACATGGCTAAAACTTTATCGACTAAAATAACTAGCTCCTGGCAGATGGCCGTGCGTATCGATTTACGACGAAAGAGTAACACTTGACCTGACGCATTGACGAACGCGGGAGTGCCGAGCATAGGGCAAAACATAATACTATTCACAAATTTTAAAGACAATTTATTACTAAAGAGAAATGTCGGAAGACTTTGTGTGTGTTGCCCAGCCCTGTTTGTTTGAATCGCGAGAGGCTTACGCTACTCCTACATCCTACGTCATACACCGAGTCAAGTTACTCTTTTGGCTTAAGTCGACATGCGTACAGTAGGTCGTCTGCCGGAAGTTTTATATAAAATATGGATATTAAATATGGATTTTTTTTGATATATTAAAAATTGATATTTTTATCCATATTTAAAATTAAATATGGATATTTTTCTTACATGAACGCCTTTATTAACCCCCCAGAGCCATGTGGAGCACTTTTATCATAGATGGATGCATTTTATGAACTTCAAAACATAAACGGCCATTCACTGGCATTATAAAGCTTGGAAGAGCCAGGACATTATTTAATATAACTCCTTGTATTCGTCTGAAAGACGAATGTTATACCTAGGATGGCTTGAAGGTGAGAAAATCATGGGCTAATTTTCGGTTTTCAGTGAACAATCCCTTTAAATCATCAAGATTTTGAAAAGTGTTAATTTTCCACTAAAAATATGTGATTTATTTGAGAAGCAACACAATTTAGGATATTAGGTACATATAAAATGATATCTTGGTATTAGGGAATATATCTTTTCTTTCTTTTTTTCAGACCATTGGGAATTTTTATTATTATTTTGTAATATTCATATAATTCTGGACATAACCTCTAAAGTCAAGTACCAATATCTTATTCAAATTTACATCTAAAGTAAATGTCCATCTTATCGTAAGATATTTTTAAATGGAAAAAAGACAAACATATTTCATATATGAAAATATCAAACTATCTGCTTCACCTGTTAAAACAGCCTGTTCTCATCCTTTAGCGTCACTTAGAGCGCTATATGACAAAACGGCGCTATACTACGCACATGGAACCGTTTATCGTTAATATTCACGCGAAACCAAGGCGTCATAAATCCTTTAGCGTAATATGAGACTACCCTACCCTACCCCACACCTAAACCTAATCATCACAGCGCGTGTTATATTAACGATAACAGGTGCCATGTGCGTAGTATAGCGCAGTTTTGTCATTTAGCGTTCTATATGACGCTGTTAAAGGGATACTCCACTTTTTTTTTTAAAAAAGGCTCATTTTACCACTCCCCCAGAGTTAAACAGTTGGGTTTTACCGTTTTCGAATCCATTAATCTGATTTTTTGATATTTAGAAGAATATCAGTAACCAGACAGTTTCTGGTCTCATTGACTTCCATAGTATATTTTTTCCTACTATGGAAGTCAATGAGACCAGAAACTGTTTGGTTACTGATATTCTTCTAAATATCTGAAAATCGGCGGAATGGATTTGAAAACTTTAAAACTCAACTTTTTAACTCATGGGGGAGTGGTAAAATGAGCCTATTTCCAAAAAAAGTGGAGTATCCCTTTAAAAGCATAGTAGTGTTGTGCACTAGAAAGTCCTCTGATGACTTCTGCTTAACATCCAACATTCATTCAGGCTAGAAGTTAGGCTGAGGTCATAGTTTACGACCAGCTGATGATGGGTTAACACACACCCGACACATTTTTCTCTGGTGGTGGCATGTTTCTAGCATTGATTCGGGGTAATTTGGTCATAAATCAGGGAAAGAATGGGAAACTTAATGTGGACATTGACTTATGAATGTATAGCTTAATGTCCTCAAATACCTCATTTGATGAGTGTTTTATTATGTCTCGAGTCCTCTATTGGCAGGCTACACTACGTACACATGCTCACAGACAGTCGCCAGAAACAATACACTCCAAACAGCTGAGTGGGTGATCCTGCTGAAAAGTTGAGCGTAATTAATGTTGAGTGTTTAATCCCCGACACCCTGCCCTATGACTGCAACACACACACAACTGAGAAGAAGTGTGTGTATGTGTGTGTTTAAACCTGTCTGTCAGCTCTTTCAGTTCCGCTGGAACTCCGTTAAACAGGGTTTTCCACCTTTACAGCAATGTTTGAATCCAGAACTAAAAAATAAACAGAACTGCAGGGAATATGAATGAATGTTCTTGTATCAAGCAGGGTAACAGTTTTAGTTAACCATAACAATGCTTTTAATCAGCTAATTTTACATTGCTGGAGTGGTATGCCAACTGGTGACTGAAAGGTTGCAGGTTCAAAACTGATACGCTTTCACCATTGTGCCCTCAAGCAAGTCATCCAAACCCAGGTTGATCCAGGGGGATTGTCCTTAAGTCTATGTTAAATCACTTGGGGTCGTGTCTGCTAACTGACTACTTACTTATAAGGGGTCCAAGCACCAAAGGTATTTACAAAACATTCTTATTAGCTAGTCAATTTAGTTAAAAATAGTCAAATTCTACCAGTAGGGGCACTCTAAACGAAAGGTACTCATGACTCTGCGACTGTTTGATCAAGGAAATTAAAATTTAGCTTAGAGTTTCTTTGCTACAAATTCTGACTCAACAAGTCAACACTTTCAATGTCATTTATTTTAAATGCAAATGGTTGATCATTATGAAATTTGGCATGTATATGCAGATTATTATAACAAGACGGTGTAATAAATTGTATGACAATTGGCCACACGTAGAACTATAAAGAGTACGTTTACACGTAAAATTTCTGTTTAGACCTTCTAACATTTTCCCGCTCAGAGTCCACCATTTTAAATGTTTAAATTTCCTTTTCTTTTTTTGTCTTAGGTCATTGGTCTGATTCACACAAAATGGTGTGTATCATCTAGAGTCCATCCTGACCAAACATTCAGTAACCCTGCAATTCACCTCCAGAGCTTGTGTATTTTAACACAGCCTTGCTAAAGTACACCACCTGGCAACCTTCTGTTTCAGCCGAATAACCCAAAAGAAACGCACAGATGAACGACACTGAACAAGGAAACTTGAGCATTAAGTCCTACAGTAAATCTGAATGAAGCCCAGCAGCTTCATTTAAATACAGGCAGGTCTAATTGAAACACCTCGGCTTTATTAACAGATCAGGTTGTTCTAGATACATTTTTTCAATGGGAATGAATGAAAGGCTTCACCTCTGAATGGATTATGATGGTTATTCAAACATGGTGATGCAATTTGCTTTTTTAGGAGGATTTGTAATAGTCAATCCAACAGAAAGGGCAGCACAACCACACATATTTCAAAGTGGTTGAGTTTGGTTTGGGTTACTGTCTCATTTGAGAGTGTGTCTGGCCGACAGCTGTCTGTATGTATAATTCTGAAGAATATCCCAGCCCATTCCACACTATTCCAATCCCAGCATTCCAGAGAATATGTCTAACAAACTTCTTAAAGTGTGTGATCACAAGACAGAACAATCACAGACACAAATAGACTCCCATACAACAGACCTAGACATTCCCCAACTATATCCTATAATCTAGGTGCTTGAAACAAAGCCACTCAGTTTAACACACACAATCAACAGTCACCCAAAAGGGTCTTTATAACCCCTTATCTGGTGCCTTTACTTTCTAATTAGAGTATCTGACCTCCCACTACACTATCTCTGTGGTTAAAAGTCTCAGATTTAAATGCAAGTAAGAAAAAGTGTCAGAAATTACAACTTAATGTCCTGGCTCTAGTCAATAAAAAATGTTGTTCCCTGAAATTGACCTTTTTTTTTTTTTTTTACCTTTCCCAAACCTTATTAAAAAACACACACACAGCACAAATATTTAAAGAACGAAATAGCATTTTTGTCCCCATTTTATATTGTGGGTTGTTTTTTTTTTGGTGAAAGATAAAAGATCAGATCTCCACACACGCACACATATATAAAAACAGCTTACCCTGCAGGTCTGTGAGCGTCTCAGCATTGCTCTTCTGGCACTGATACCATTTGTACTTTCAGAAGTGTCATTTTTCGAAACATTAATTTGTGGTGTATCTCCGTGTAAAACCGCCACCCAGATACAGCGAGGTTCTGGAGAGCTGCAGTCCACCCCCACCGCATCCCGAAAACACCACTCCATACCCTCTACACGAGGGCACACAGCGGGCATTACCAACGGCACCTGACCCGCTGACCACATCACACATAAACACGTACGGGAGTGTGCAAGGGCTCACAAGAGGACGAGTCGTATTAACGAAAGAACCATTAAGGTAAAAACCATTACATAAAAAAAAGAAAAAAGATTTGGCCAGTTAAAGATGTTAAAGATAAGTTAAAGATGTGTCCATCCTCTCCCCCAAAGAGAGGAGAAATTCCAGATGTGGCTTCTGTTGAACATGCCCAAATCTCCTCATATTTTGTTAATCCATGCTGGTGAATTTTCTTAAAGGATTCTGGAGTTAAACTAATAGTTCCATATCACATCGATGAGCTCCGCACCTCCCATGCTCACGCACGCAGACGAGTGTTACAACCACAGAGGCATATCCAGAGATGAGAGCGAACCAGGATGCAGACACATACCCCTGGCAGTCCCAGAAATATGTGCGTGCGTGTGTGTGTGTGGCAAGCACGTGGCAGTGCTGGCAAGACGTAGATCCAGGGAAGCCGGCTGCGGGATGGAAAAATGAATTAAATCCAAGTTTTTTTTTCGCATAAGTTTCCCCCCTCTTACTCTGCTTCAGTCTTTTTTCTTCTATTCCTTCACTTTCTGAACCACTCAGCTCTTCTCTCTCGCTCTCTCTCTCTCTCTCCACTCTGTCATCTCCTGACAAGCTCTAAACTCCGGCTCTCTGTCAATATGAGTGGGCCGGCCCTGCTGCTTTTCTTTTGCTTGCTGCCTCTCTCTCTCTCTCTCTCTCTCTCTCTCTCTCTCTCTCTCTCTCTCTCTCTCTAATTCATTCAATTATCCTTCTCTTTATCACTCCTTCCTGTCTGTATCTCTTTGCTGCTCACAAAGTTATTCTCACTTGCACACTCATATGCTTATTTCTACTGTTTATAACTGCCCAATAGAATCAAAATGAAAGTTTGGTGGCTTTTAGTCCATGCCTGTTAGCGTTGAGGCCATATTAAAGATACTTTACAAACAAATAAAAATAAATAAAAAATCAACTTTAAGCATATTTAAAAGTGTAAATCTGGATGACTCATCATGCACTGCACAGAGTTCTGTCCAATCAGATACTCTCTAGAATGAGAATGTCCCACCCTCTAATATTTACAGCCACTCATTTGCATAATATCCTTTTCCTGGCTGTAATGTAACTAAAGCCTATTGGCTATTTAACCTTCCTAAGCTTTAAAAAAAAAAAATAAAAGTCAGAGTTGTAAAGCCCACTTAGACTCATTGAATAAAGTTTGATTATTCAGACTGTCCATTTTAAAAAAAGTCACCAAATTGTTAATCACTCAGAATGAGGAGGGGGAAGAAATCAGTCAAAAATGAAAAAAAAAAAAATAAATCAAAAAGTTAAACAAAATCATTTCAATGTGTAACTAAACACAGTGGTGTGATTTAATACGGCTTGTTTTTCTTCTTGCCATCTATATTCCCCTGGGTCCTTCTTTTTCTTTGTCACTTTCGTTCTCCCTCATCCCCGTCTGGCACACAAAACGTTTGCATTTTTCCCCATCAGAGCGCTCAGATTTCTGTCTTATCTAATCTTTCAATTCAGTTTCATCTTTTTTTCATTCAGTCCTTTGTTCCATCAAACAAAAAAACTAATTCAAAGGTCTCCGACAGTACTTTAAAAAAGTCCATGTAGTCCAACAACGTTGTAGCTGAAATCCGCCGGAGCCACCAGCAGCTCTGAAAGACCATTCGACTGTGTATGTGTGTGTGTTGTTTCCCGCTCTCTAAAAGTCCCCTCAGAGAAAAAAACTAAATAATAGCTCCGCTAGCAAACACAATGAGCCTAAAAAAAGTCTAAAAAGGACACACACACAAACAGAAGGCCTACATATTCTTTGTAACTAAAAAAAAATGGAGGAATGACCACTATGAGAAAGAAAAACCAAACCCAGAACGGTAGACAAAAACACAGGGTACCAGACACCTCACTGCAGCTGCTCTCTGAGGCCAGACTAAAACAGCTGCTATAAAACAACACACACCAACACAACACAAGACATGCACAGTAACATATCATCTATCAGGTCACATATTGACACTAACACACACACACATCCGTGGAAAATCTCACCCAACAGGCAGGCCTCCAGTATGTGCGCAAGAGGGGCAGGCAGCTGGCCATCGGTGAGACATTTCCCTCTCATTCAACTCCACTAAACACACACACACACCTGAGATCCGTTACAAATGAGGATGGACTGGTTTCACCTGCCGCACTGTTAAACGTGTACCGGCAACGGCAGCATAAAGCCAGAACATGTACGCAATACAGGAAACACAACACAGTTTATCACGTCAAGTCAAGGTGTCATGAATAGGCTGAAGATTAAGTAAAGTCACAGTGAATCACTTATATGCCACAGTTTATTTTGAAATGCACAAAAGACATGTATGATGTTGAATATCCTTTTGTGTCATTATAAAAGAATATTCATTGAAAACATTAATGGAGCAAACACACACATTCCATTCCTGAGGTGTGTTGAGGATTGAAGACACATAACTCTAGTACTTCCTGCAGTCTAACCTGAAGCTCATCCTCCTTTTCCTCACCGCTGTATGAACTACTAAACAAAACAATAACCACAAATTCTCAAAGTAAATGAGATCTCACTCTGTAGCCAGATTTGCCAAGACACAAATGTCAATATGAACTCCTTTCCCATAAATTCTTTTCCCCATATGAAATTATCTGAACTATGCAATCGACATTCATTTGTGTCAACAACAATTCCAGAAGACAATGTTATTGCTCAGATATTTCTCTTTTAAAGGGATAGTTTATGAAAATGATATCATCACCCTCAAGTTGTTCCAAACCTGTTATGAGAGTTTCTTTCTTCTGCTGAACACAAAAGAAGATATTTTGAAGAATGATGGTAACTAGACAGTTGATGGGCCCCATTGACTTCCAATTGTTTTTTTTTCAACTATAGAAGTCATTTGCTACAGTTTTTATTAACAAAATTCTTTAAAACATCTTATTTTGTGTTCAGAAGAAGAAAGAAAATCATTCAGGTTTGGTACAACTTAAGGGGGAGTGATTTTTATTTTTGGATGAACTATCCCTTTAAAGCCCAGAAGGCAAACGGGATTAATAACAAAAATGTATATATTATATCAACTTAAAACATCTGGTGGTCTTCAGTTATTTTAAATGTTACATTTTGAATAATAAAAAATACTTTATTGGAATGGTATAGCACTACAGTAGGTGACTTTTGTGGCACTTACTATATGAACACACAAAGGATGAAGTAAAAGGTCTAATGCAAAACCTAATTATATCTGAAAAATCAAGTATTATGCCTGAAAATACTCTAATAAGCAGCAAGGGAATACACAGTCCTATATCAATATTTATATATAGGGCTATAAAGACATCTAGTGGTTACACCACAGTATATGCTTTTCTTTATTTCTCCCACCTGATGCCACGAATCTGTATCCTGGCTCCGCCCTCCTACATACTTCAGCTCAATTTGAATTTTCAAAAAACATCAAAATGAATAAGTAGTAATAGGCTATTTTGTACCCTAGTTTTGAGCCTAGCTGAAAAAACGCTCGTTTTTTTTGTGTCTCGCACTGAACACTTGTAAGTAAACGCCCACTGCTGTGAGTGGATAACAGTTTTGCATATTATAATGAGTTTCAACTCACTCATCGATGCACGTGTGGGGAAACATTTTGAAAACGTCCAATGTTGTAAAATGGCAACCAGAATGATTCGCCCATACATGTTCGACCCAGAGTCCGTGTGTTGCACAATTCCTGTCAGATCCAATATAGACGGCACAGCACTTTCTCTTAATCTGTCTGCAAATCCAGTCTTGCTTACAAAACAATCCTCAGTGAAATGAAGCGAACAGACGGACAATGTTTTACCTCATCAGCTGGAACGTCATTAAAAATAAAGTTTATCCATGCAGTCCTATTGGAATCCAGAGGAAGGACATGCAGCCACTGTCTTTTCCATAACCAGGCACTGCACAATATTCTGTAAACGGCATCTTTATCGCTCGGTAGCTCGATCCGGCTTGTCATCACGAGGTAAGCATCTATGTTATTTAGCTATGTGTGTAATGCGCGAATCGGTGGGCGGGGCTAAACCGGCCGTGTTGAAGTAGGCGTTGATCTTCTTCTGCCGCGGTGAGGTTTTATCTTTGTCGTCATAGTTCCCCACATTGAAAAACGAGTCGTTTGCTGAGACTGGTGGCAATAAAAGCATTTACTGGACTAACAAGGACGTTTTCAGTTCTGAAACTTACAGGATATTCTTATAATATGATGTCAAAAGCTCAAGGAAAATTTGATTTCTCAGTTCATCACCCCTTAAATGTTACGAGTTATGACCAATAACCAATAAATTATTTTCAATAATTAACATATTTGTTTTTATCTACACCAATTTGTATAAAACTAACTAGAAAATGAAAACTATATTATTACATGCACACACATCAATTCACTTAAACTTTAATACGATTATCTATATCCTAAAACAAGTGGAAATAAGCATCCAATTTCAGCAGATAAACTTCCAATAATGCCTAATTATAATAGCAATATATATATAAAAAATAAAACAGATATGATGCTGATATATTATGCATCCATTACTTTATCCAAAAGAAACACAAACAGCACTATTGAGCCCTGTTTTTAAAAAGACTGGAGCTGTGAAAGCTACATGAGCAGCAGATGTTTGATCTGCACATGCTCTGATATAAATCTCCCTTTAATCTCCTCACACACACAAACACGGTTGATTCATCTATCAACACATGCTGATGGAACAAATACTAAACTCATGGGTCACAAATCTGTTCTGACAGAGCCCTCAAAAATAATGCTTAATGCAAAAACCAATCATATAATCTTGAAAACATCATATATGCCAGTATCTTAGTAAGAGCACACATGCTCATTTATTCAAGTCTGTCCCCTGCTGGTCACTTAAGAAATAGCCCAAATACACACAACTCCTCTAAAGTATGAATGAGAGCTCAAAGCTAGCACAATATAAACACAGCTACATCTGAATGTGTATAAAGTGTGCTGAGGCCTCAGTGAGCACAGGGCGACACAGAGACAGGAGATAACAGGAGACCTGACAACACCATTTGGTCCCAAGAGCATTAGATAGCAGAACACAGTCTAGACCGACTTTAATCTGCCTCTCCTGTGTGTGTGTGTGTGTGTGTCTGTGTGTGTGTGTGTGTGTGTGTGTGTGTGTGTGTGTGTGTGTGTGTGTGTGTTGTGTGTGTGTGTGTGTGTGTGTGTGTGTGTGTGTGTGTGTGTGTGTGTGTGTGTGTGTGTGTGTGTGTAAAACTACTCTTCTTTAAGCTGGTTAATTTTAGCTTTAATCCTCAGCAAAGCCATTGACCAATAGGCTGCAAACCTGAAGCAAAACCAGTAAGTTGTAGTGACATGAAACCACCAACAGATGGAAGCACTAAAGCACAACCCAATGAGAGTTTCAGAAATTCAAGTGTTTACATGTAGGTAGACTGTGCCTGAAACCTGCAGCAAGAAAAAAAAAAGCTTGAATATTACATAAAATACGCAAAAATATATATTCTGTCATCATTCACTAACTCTTATATCAATCCAAACCTGTATAACTTTCTATCTTCATAAAAGAATGTAAAAAGGGACAAAAAAAGAAGATATTTGAGGAATTTTGATAACCAAATAGCTTTGGTGACCATTGACTTCCATTGTATGGACAAAGAACATTGCAGAAAATTCTTAGAATATCTTATTTTATGTTCCACTGAAGTCAATGACAGAATTACATTTTTTAACTATTACCAAATATTATAGTTAAATACTGTGTAAAACATGTTATAAGTTTATTACACCATTGCTGAACTCCACGTCCAAGTGATCTGAGGGCGCGAGCACTTTGTGGCTGTGGTTACAAGAGGTAAAAAACTATGTAAATACTGTTCGTTTTCTCACACAAACCACTCTTTTCGTGTTTTAGGCCATCAATGTGTGTACTTACATTTATGAGTCATTAAATCTTGTCTAATTTGGACTTCTCTGTGCATGCTCTTTGAGGTGGTGACCATAGACCTGCATTATATGACTGACA